TGTTACTTTAGCAGAAAAAATCTAAATCCTTAAGTCTGGCTAGTATATTCACATGATTGGTGGGTTGATGTTGTTTTTAAACATTAAGCTTTCAAAACTGTCAACAGACATAGTTTTGTTACACATGATGTTTTCAGGGAGACTCCTTTTCCTAATTACAATCAGGTATCTTTTAACCTGCCTTAATTTAATGCATTTCTTATAGAATTTTATGAAATGAGACCCGGAGAAGACTTTTGGAAGGAAAGTGGAGGGGGTGGGATTTAGAGACAGAAAATCTAAGAGGTCCATCCTGTTTTTGGTGGAGACAAATATGGTGTTGCTTTTGGTTAGAGATCAGAATTTCTATTGGATACAAATGTCCTTGGCAAGAGACACTGGGATTAAATGCTTACAGGAGGAAGACTGTAAATTTGGGAGGTGGAACTTGTAACTAAGATTAACAACTTTGAGTTTGGGAGATGTTTACATCAACACTGTGTTCTCAGTGTTTCAAATCAAGCTGATCTCAGTAGATCAGAAGCTGCTGGCATGAGATATTTGTGCAAATGACTATTGCCTTTGTTTTTTAGCCTGCATTTCAACTGAGCAGCTATAGCCTGCTCTGTAAAGAGAGGGTACCAGAATACTGAAAGGAATGAACCTGGAGACAGCACTCAGGTACTTTAGTTTGTGGTGAACTCATATAGCTTCTCAAGCCCCACTGTGCAAACTTCCACATTCTAGGCCCTGCTGGGATTATGCTGCAGGTGGTGGTGGGACTTCATTCATTAATTTCATTTCTTTATTATATTTGTTTACCACCCAATAGTCCAAGCTCCCTGAGTGGTCTAGGAAGAATAAAAACCTTCAAAGTACAAGACTGTGCATAATCTGAAAACCATTTACATACAAACATGTAAACAGTTAGAAACATATGTTCCTCTCCCCATTCTAGGGATGTGGCCAAGAAAGGCGATGGCTTTGGGTCCATCAGGTCCAAAGATTTGTCTCTGTCCACAAAGCGACTTTTTTGGTCACCTTCCACTGTCGGTGCACCCACAGCAGGGGAGCAATGGTGCACCATCACACCAAACCACCACCTAAGTCCTTCGCCAGATGCCTTCTCTAGCCAAGGACCACAGGCTTGCTTCCTAAGTTGCCTTTCCAAGCATGCAGGAAGATTTCCATTATACAGCTCCCCACATACTCCACACCTTACAGCATTCCCGAGAATCCTTCAATCCCCAGGAGCACAATTTACAGGGACCTACAGAGGAAAGGGGGAAGTGGAAAAGTTCTATCTTGTGAATATGAACTTGGAGTTAGGATTCAAGCCAATATTATTACTATCTAATGTAGTGATTTCTGGAAAGTATGTATATATCTGCTCTTGCAAAACAATAGATCAAAATATAAAAGTTCAAGTACATTTCTAGGCTATTTCTCTGGAAGTTTTCAGGAAAGCATTTCAGGAAATCTTCACCTCTTACTTACATAGATTTTATCATTTTTTAAAAAAAATTGGATTTAACTACTTAAATATAAAATCCTGAAGAACTGATTTGCAGTTGTTTCTGAACAAAAATATACTTTCTTATCTTTATTTTAAAAATCCTATGAAGGTAGAATGCAAGAAGCTTTTGCTAAGCAAATAGTTTTTCCAACAGTCACAGTTCAGGATTGACAGTAATAATAATTGTATGATCATGACAGATATTATGAGCTAATGTCTACTTGTCTGAAGCATTTCTGTTAAAAATCCAAATGAAATGTAATGACAGTTGCCTTAGAAGGCAATAAATACAGGAAATGATACTTTTTTGGAGTGGGGGTGGGGTTGTTGTTCAGTTTTGCCCTGCATGTTACCAGCTTGGTGGGAATGACCATGATGATGATGATGATGATGATGATGATGATCCATTAAGGGCACAATCCTTTGCAAGTTTAGACTGAAAAAAGGCCCACAACTGCCAGCATGCCTGGGATATTCTGATATCTGTAGCCTTTTTTCCTGCCTAAACCTGCATAAAATTGCTCCTTAAATAACAAAAACATCCTTGGTTCATAAAATAAACAAGAATTATAATCCAATGTGTTTGAAATATTTTTAAGAAACAATGCGAGCAAAAAAAAAAAAAAAAAAAAACCACACACACACACACACACACACACACACACAAAACCAACAACAACCCAGGAAGTATTTCCTATCTTTGGGGCTAATTAATTAATTTAGATCTTTTCATATCCTCAAAATTACCATATAATTATGGGCCAGTATAAAGACAGCATTATGAACTTGCCAGTTATATATGACTGCAGCTGCTTGTGGACTTTTGCTTGCCAAATAGGATTTTCTGCTTTTTCCCCCTGTCCTCCTTGCTGCAGCCTCTGAATCTAGCTATTGAACAGTGGGATTCTACAGCAGAGCAAGATGATTTTATATCCTCTGAAACTGCTAGAACTGTATTTTCTTAGTATTCATCCCTTCCAACTGCTAGGTAATGCTACCCAGTTTGGCTTCCATTAACTTTTTAAAGGTATACTATTTGAAATTATCTCCAGATTTGTTAATATAAAACTGCCTAGCTTCTCTCTGCTTGTTCTGTTTTCCACCTTCCAAGAAATGTGTGTGTTTTGCCTAAGTATGAATACAGTAACGGCTGGATTTTATATTTTCATTGCTAATTTTCCTTCTTCCCAGCATCCTCAGGGGCAGTCCCAGGTGCAAACATCATATCACTTGGTAGAGCCCAATCTGACAGAGCTTAATCAGGTGCCAGGTCTCACCTCCTCCTCCTCCTGCATATCATCTTAAGACTCAGGCCATGCAGGTTCCATATCACAATATTAAATTATTTTTTCTCTTGTTTCCGCCTCACAAGCTGCATTTTCTAACATCCTCCCTGCTGGAGCAATCTGGATATCTCAAAAGTTGGCACATAGCATAACACTGATTTTCAATGTTTACTTATGGCCAACATTTTTAACTTTATATGATTAAATTGTCGGGAAGAAATGTTCTGCATTTTGTTTAGGTTCTTTTCTGCTTTTAATGCATATATTTGAATGGTTAAGCTCCCTGCCCTCAAATTTCCCATTTTTACCACAGTTCTCTCTTTCTATAGATCACTCTGTTAGGTTGCTGTTGTTTTTAATTTCCCCCATGCCCACCCTGAGCTGCCTCCAATTATTTCCCTAAATGTATCTAAAATTAGTTCTAGGTTTCCTATAAGGGTGGAATCTTTGCCAGTCCTCTTTCCTATCGTTGCCCGCCATGCCAGGACCCCGTTCTGTTTTGTAGGGCTCCTAACACTGAGGAGCAACTTTTCAAAAAGGGCATAGTGCCTAAGTAGAGAGAGTATAAGCAGGCATGCACAAGATTGTTTTTGTACAGTTCACGAATTACTCAAAACTATCCCATTTGCAAATGCCAAAGGGAAGGCATGGTCTCTGAACATGCTCACAGATTCCTCAACTTGTGTTTACATTTGAAAAATGTGCACTTAAAATGCACTTTAAGAAGTTTGTATTTTAAAAGTATACTTTTAAAAATAAATGCCTTTTTATACTTCATAAGGAAAAAGTGCACATTCTCCAAAAAGTATACTTTTCTCATTCTAAAATCACATTTCCCCAACAAATGAACAACAGCAAAAAGGAAAGTGAGCCAAACAAGAATAAGCCAGTCTGAGCTCTCATGTGAATTTCAGAGAATTTCAGCAAGCTCAAAGATCCCTGATTTTTCATCCCTAGATATTACTGCATTTATTTTGATTGAATTTCCTTGATATTTTAATGAAAAAAATGGAACTCAAGGCATCTTATTGGCACAATTCAATGGACTGAAACAGTAATATATTAAGATGCAATAAGAACACAACAATTAGCAAAACGAAAAACAAAGCTCCAGTTAGCTACAAGAAGTGAAAGAACAGAGCTATTTTAAAAGGGGGAAAAGTACTGACATCTTCCCCAACTCCCTCCCCAAAATTATTGAGAAGGTGAAAGGATGCTGATGCTTGCTCCTGTCCTTCCAAGCTAGTGAGATTAGCCCTGTCCTTCCACACCAAAACAACAAGTACATCTCCCTCCTGGGCAGACTTCCTCATGAGTTAGCTCCACTCAAGTCAGTGGATTTAATTGAGAGGCCATTGAAAATGATGTAATTTACATGCATTTCAAGTAGCTGTTTCTTAAGCAAGAGGACATATAAGACAACCAAAAAGGCAAGAAAACACCACAAATTTTATTTTTTTCAGAGTGGAGAGGAAGGAAGGGGGCATTTGCAAGTCAGACAATAAAAGTTTGGTGTAGATCCAACCTGGTCCCAAGCTGTACAGGGCTTTATATGTCATAAGCAGCACTTTGAATTCTGCCCAGAAATATACTGGTAGCTAGTGAAGTTGCTCTAGCAAGAGAGTCAGATGCAGTTTGTAATTTATCCTGGTCAACAGTCACGGCACAGCATTCTGGACCAGCTGAAGTTTCTGAGCAGTTCTTGTGCAGCCCCCTGGTGACCATATTACAGTAGCCCAAATGGGATGTATCTAAGGCATGTATGACCATTGCTATATCATAACTTGACAAATTTCTATAAATGATTCTGCAGAGGCAAGGGATGCTTAAAATGAGAGCATCAATCATGTGGCAAGCTGTCGAGTAACTGAGCCCTGAAGTCCTGATTATTATTGCAGAATCATAGAGTTGGATACGGCATCAAAGGTGATCTAGCTCAATTCCTGCTATTTCCGTAATACAGGAAATTCCGTACTACAGCTGGGTGGATGGCCACCCAGCCATTGCATACAAACCTCTAATGGAGGAGAGTCCTTCAGTGTTTGGGGCTGTCGGTTCCATGGCTTACACTGTCAGAAAGTTCTTCCTGATGTTTAGTAATTTGAGGCTACTGGTTCAGATCCAGAAAAAAAATTCAGCATCTATTTCACAGCTTTTCAAATATTTGAACATGGCCATCGCATCACCTCTTTGTTGTCTCTTTTCCAAGCTAAACATACCTAGTTCCTTCAACTTTTCCCTAGAAGCCTTGGACTGCAGTTTCCTCTTATGTTTATCACTCTCCTCTGAACATGTTCTGGTTTACTCAGAAACTGTAGCCCCTGGAATGGGATGCAGAACACCAGGTGAAGTCTGACCAAAGCAAATAAATCAGTGCAATTACTTCTTGCCATTTGGATAAGAGCTGGAATTGCAAGTTTCCTCTTGAGCTGCCTTATTGTGCTCCTGAATTTGAACCCTATTTAGCTTGTGGTCTAGTAAAACCCTCTAGATCCTTTCCCCATGTGCTGCTGTCAAGCCAGGTGTTACTCAATGGTAAAAGATTCCTGCATTTAAAATCAATCATGCCCAGGCCTAGTACTTACAGAATAACAGTTAGAATTTCCAAAATTGGTTACACTTACATTCAGACTTTGGGGAATCGATGGATTTGCTTCTGGATCAGTGCAATGCAATTTTCAGAAGTCAGGATTCTTCATCGGTGTTTGGTAAGCAAAGAAAGATATTTTTGTCACCAACCCCTAGGGAAAAAATGATCAAAAATTAGTTTGATCTATAACTCATACCTTTTTGAAAATGTAAATTTTCAGAACAACAAGCAGAATTTTCAAAGATAAATGGCTAGTATCAATTATGCATGATTTAGTTATGTTAAATGTTTGTTTATTTTCAAATATTTATATTAACTTATATCCTTTGGTGTTTGTAGAGATGCAGTCACTGATCCCTGACACAGCATTGAATGTGACTTCCAGGGCTGAAATATTTGTGCAACCCTTTGGCACTGAGAGCCACATGGGAAATAAGGAATACACAAGGACTGGGAAAAGGGGGAAGGGAGGGCAGCAGATGCTGTTCTGTGACTGATAGTTCAACTTTCTTATCACAACAAAGGATTTGACCAGGACTTTCCACTTGTGATCATTTGAGTGAAGGATGTCAAAGCAATATACTGCAAGACTGATCCAGTGCACCATGTTCTTTGTTAGTTCTTTCTCTCAGGAGAAGAAGTGTTAAAAATTGTTTTGGTTGGGTCTGTGGGTCCTTTGATTCATCATATGTTACAAGCCCCTGCACCTTGTTGTTGCTAGGTGCGAAGTCGCGTCTGACCCATCGTGACCCCATGGACAACATTCCTCCAGGGGATTCCTGCCCTCCACCATCCCCCGGAGTCCACTTAAGCTCACACCAACTGCTTCAGTGACTCCATCTAGCCACCTCATTCTCGGCCGTCCCCTTCTTCTTTTGCCATCTGTTGTTCCCAGCATTAGGCTCTTCTCCAGGGAGTCCTTCCTTCTCATTAGGTGGCCAAAGTATTTGAGTTTCATCTTCAGTATCTGGCCTTCTGCTACTGGGGAAGGGCAAAGGACTAGTACTAGTAGCGCCAGAAAGAATGAAGCAACTGGGTCAAAGCCAAAAGGACACTCAGTTGCAGATGTATCTGGTGGTGAAAGGAAAGTCCGATGCTGCAAAGATCTATACTCCATAGGAACCTGGAATGTAAGATCCATGAATCAAGGCAAGCTGGATGTGGTCAAACAAGATATGTCTAGACTGAACATTGACATCTCAGGAATCAGTGAACTAAAATGGACAGGAATGAGTGAATTTAATTCAGGTGACCATCAGGTATACTACTGCGGGTAAGAATCCCTCAGAAGAAATAGAGTAGCCTTCATAGTCAATAAAAGAGTAGGAAAAGCAGTACTGGGACACAATCTCCAAAATGACAGAATGATCTCAATTCGAATCCAAGGCAAATCATTCAACATCACAGTAATCCAAGTCTATGCCCCAACCACTGGTGCTGAAGAGGCTGAAGTTGACCAGTTCTATGAAGGCCTACAACACCTTCTAGAATTAACACCAAAAAATGATGTCCTTATCATCATGGGGGGTTGGAATGCTAAAGTAGGAAGCCAAAAGATAACCGGAATAACAGGCAAGTTTGGCCTTGGAGGACAAAATGAAGCAGGGCACAGGCTGATAGAATTTTGTCAAGAGAATACGATGGTCTAGCAAACGTTCTTTTCCAACAACCCAAGAGATGACTCTACACATGGACAGTAGAGGTGACAAATAGACTTAAGGAATTAGATCTGATAGACAGAGTGCCTGAAGAACTATGGACAGAGGTTCGCAACATTGTACAAGAGGTAGCAACTAAAACCATCCCAAAGAAAAAGAAATGAAAGAAAGCAAAATGGCTGACTGAGGAAGCTTTACAAATGGATGAGGAAAGAAGGCAAGCAAAAGGCAAAGGGAGAAAGAGAAAGATACACCCAATTGAATGCAGAATTCCAAAGAATAGCTAGAAGAGATGACAATGCCTTCTTAAATGAACAGTGCAAAGAAATAGAAGAAAACAATAGAATAGGGAGGACCAGAGTTCTCTTCAAGAAAATTGGAGATATGAAGGGAACATTTCATGCAAAGATGGGCATGATAAAGAACCAAAATGGCAGGGACCTAACAGAGGCAGAAGAGATTAAGAAGAGGTGGCAAGATTACACAGAAGAACTATACAAGAAAGAGCTTAACATCCCTGATAACCACGATGGGATGGTCACTGACCTCGAGCCAGACATCCTGGAATGTGAAGTCAAATGGGCCTTAGGAAGTCTGAGCAACAACAAAGCGAGTGGAGGTGACAGCATTCCAGCTGAGCTATTCAAAATCTTAAAAGATGATGCAGTAAAAGTGCTACACTCAATATGCCAGCAAATTAGGAAAACTCAGCAGTGGCCACAGCATTGGAAAAGGTCAGTTTACATTCTGATCCCAAAGAAGGGCAATGCCAAAGAATGTTCAAACTACCGCACCATTGCACTCATTTCACATGCTAGCAAAATGATGCTCAAAATCCTACAAGCTAGGCTCCAGCAGTATGTGGACTGAGAACTACCAGAAGTACAGGCAGGATTTCGAAGAGTGAGAGGAACTAGAGATCAAATTGCTGGATCATGGAGAAAGCTAGGGAGTTCCAGAAAAACATCTACTTCTGCTTCATTGACTATGCTAACGCCTTTGATTGTGTGGATCACAACAAATTGTGGCAAGTTCTTAAAGAGATGGGAGTAGCAGACCATCTTATTTGTCTCTTAAGAAACCTATATGCGGGTCAAGAAGCAACAGTGAGAACTGGACACGGAACCACTGATTTGTTTAAAATTGAGAAAGGAATTCAGCAAGGCTGTATACTGTCTCCCTGCCTATTTAACTTATATGCAGAGCACACCATGAGAAAGCAGGGCTAGATGAATCACCAGTTGGAATTAAGATTGCTGGGAGAAATATCAACAACCTCAGATATGCAGATGATACCACTCTCATGGCAGAAAGTGAAGAGGAACTAAAGAGCCTCTTGATGCTGGTGAAAGAGGAGAGTGAAAAAGTTGGCCTGAAACTCAACATTAAGAAAACTAAGATCATGGCATCTGGTCCTCTCACTTCCTGGCAAATAGATGGGGAAGAAATGGAGGTAGTGACAGATTTTATTTTCCTGGGCTCCAAGATCACCGCAGATGGGGACTGCAGCCAAGAAATTAAAAGACACTTGCTCCTGGGGAGGAGAACTTTGGCAAATCTAGACAGCATACTAAGAAGCAGAGACATCACCCTGCCAACAAAAGTGCGTATAGTCAAGGCTATGGTTTTCCCAGTTGCAATGTATGGCTGTGAAAGCTGGACCATAAGGAAGGCTGAGCGCCGAAGGATTGAGGCCTTTGAATTGTGGTGCTGGAGGAGACTCCTGCGAGTCCCTTGGACCGCAAGGCGATCAAACTGGTCAGTTTTTGAGGAGAACAAACCTGACTGCTCTTTAGAAAGCCAGATACTGAAGATGAAACTCAAATACTTTGGCCACCTAATGAGTAGGAAGGACTTCCTGGAGAAGAGCCTAATGCTGGGAACAATAGATGGCAAAAGAAGAAGGGAACGGCAGAGGATGAGGTGGCTAGATGGAGTCACTGAAGCAGTTGGTGTGAGCTTGAGTGGACTCCGGGGGATGGTGGAGGACAGGAAGGCCTGGAGGAATGTTGTCCATGGGGTCGCGATGGGTCAGACACGACTTTGCGACTAACAACAACATCTGGCCTTCTAAAGAGCAGTAAGGATTGATCTCCTCCAGACTGACTGGTTTGATCATCTTGCCGTCCAAGGGACTCACAGGAGTCTTCTCCAGCAACACAATTCAAAGGCCTCAGTTCTTTGGCACTCAGCCTTCCTTACCGTCCAACTTTCACAGCCATACATTGCAACTGGGAAAACCATAGCCTTGGCTATACAAACTTTTACAGGGTGATGTCTCTGCTTTTTAGTATGCTGTCTAGATTTGCCATAGCTTTCCTCCCCAGGAGCAAGTGTCTTTTAATTTCTTGGCAGCAGTCACCATCTGAGGTGATCTTGGAGCCCAGGAAAATAAAATCTGTCACTTCTTCCATTTCTTCCCCATCTATTTGCCAGGAAGTGAGAGGACCGGATGCCATGATCTTAGTTTTCTTAATGTTGAGTTTCAAGCCAACTTTTGCACTTTCCTCCTTCACCCGCACCAAGAGGCTCTTTAGTTCCTCTTCACTTTCTGCCTGCAGCTATCCTTCTGCAATTCTTCAGATGATTTGCATAGGAATACCTTGGCCCAGGATAGGAGATCATGGAGGCAAGAGTTGCCTCTGAGCTTCTCCCACTGCATAAAACAGCTAAAGAGCCAGTTTCAAGCTATGCAATTCAGTGCTATGGAGGACAGGGACTGAAGTGCTCCAGGCTGCTGGTTTCTCCACCCCCCCCCCCCCGTTCCTCAGGATCTGAGTGCACTTTGAGAAGCAGCCAGCAAGGTTCTTTCTGCACTGAATGTGAAAGTGGGTGGGGAAATCCAAAGACAGAACCTCAGTTCCAAATTTGGAGTGAGTTTTCAACCTCAGAGCTTAGAATAAGAACAACAATCAATCAGTCTAGACACTCTCTAGTGGACATAGGATTACTTCCATTCCTTATTTTTCTGAAGTTTAACAGGTTTGAAAAGTAGGGCCATCTTCATGTGGCATGCCATTTTCATAACAATGCCAAACTAGAAATATGTTTTGCATCCACACACAATCTGCATCCATTCATCTGAAATGTACCAATCATGATCCCTTAAATAAGGGCAGCTATCTTTCCAAATTTAATCTATTTCTTCCAAAAAATAAAATCATTATCAATCATTTCCTTTTTAAAAAGCAAAATAAATAGATACAGTGTGTAGCATAAATCTCTGCACCTACTTGTCTAAAACTGGGCAGTCATTATCTGCTCATGTATATCTGCCCTGTATATTTTAGCTACAACTAACAAAATGTAGTGAGAGCCAGTGTGGTGTGAGAGGCAGTGTGGTGTAGTGGTTAAGAGTGTGGGACTGGGACTCAGGCGATCTGGGTTCAAGTCCTCGCTCAGCCATGGAACCACTTGGGTGACTTTGGGCCAGTCACAGACTCTCAGCCCAAGCTACCTCACAGGGTTGTCAGGGGGATAAGATGGAGGAGGA